CATTTTAGTTGCCAATACCATTATCCTCCTAGTCACCCAAATTGGAATTTCGTTTTTGTATAGAACTGAGGACAAAACTTTCTCTGCCATCTCTTTCCATGGAACAGTACCCTGAGTTTCTAGGTAATTCATGTTAAAGTTGTTACCATTTGCAACTATGTATCTGTGTAAAAATTATCTTGCCACTATACAAGAAACAAAACTCAGATGTAAAAGAATTGCAATGCTGAGGCTAGTATAAGATACAATTGCCATCCATAATCTCTATATCAAATGTGCATTCAAACAAACATCATAATGTTCATTGTTTTAATTTATAAAATAAGCTTATCCTAATTCCTTTTAATCTAAATCTAGATTAAAAAGAATATTTTTTGGCCAGGGTGGCTCACACCTGTAATCCCAGCACTTTGGGAGGTGGAGGCCAAGGCGGGCGGATCACGAGGTCAGGAGATTGAGACCATCCTGGCTAACACGATGAAACACTGTCTCTACTAAAAATACAAAAAAATTAGCCAGGCGCTGTGGCGGCGCCTGTAGTCCCAGCTACTCGGGAGGCTGAGGCAGGAGAATGGCGGGAACCCGGGAGGCGGAGCTTGCAGTGAGCCGAGATAGCGCCACTGCACTCCAGCCTGGGCGACAGAGAGACTCCGTCTCAAAAAAAAAAAAAAGAAAAAAAAAAAAAAAGAAAATCTTTTAATGTTGGAATGCCGTAATTTTTTTTTTTTTTTTTTTTTTTTTTTTGAGATGGACTTTCAGTCTTGTTGCCCAGACTGGAGTGCAATGGCGCTATCTCTGCTCACTGCAACCTCCACCTCCGGAGTTCAAGTGATTCTTGTGCCTCAGCCTCCCGAGTAGCTGGGATTACAGTCCCATGCCACCACACCCGGCTAAGTTTTTTGTATTATTAGTAGAGACGGGGTTTCACCATGTTGGCCAGGCTGGTCTTGAACTCCTGACCTCAGGTGATCTGCCTGCCTCGGCCTCCCAAAGTGCTGGGATTACAGGCATAAGCCACCACGCCTGACTGGAATGCCATATAAAATTTAATTTGGGAAAAATGTCTGCTGCTAAAATTATGCGGAAAAGATCATTTATCTCTAGAATAAAAAGCAAGATCACAAGACAAGAGAATGACTCTACTTGCTTCTTCAGCCCCATCCCTTGCTACTCAGTCACATCACACATAGTTTCTGGAAAATCATCTTTTTTCTCATTCCATTCCTCCTCTGCCGTCCTCTGTCTACAGTATCTCTTCGCCTGCACTTTAGGCCCCCATACCCTTGAAGATTCAATTCAGATCTCACCAAAAAGTATTTTCTGGCCCACCAAGGCCTGGCCAGAAGTACCTCTTTCAAACAACGCTAACGTTAAACAGCATTATGGAACACTATTGTTTTGGGCTGAGCTTCTGCACTAGGCCCCAAGGGACGAGACCAAACCAAAATGGAGTCACTTGTGCTAAATGCCACGCCAACAGAATGAAACTTTAAGGAAGTCGATAGATCTCAAAACAGATCAGTTTTTCCTGAAAACTGGAGATTCCAGTCTACCTGAGTCAGCTATTTTCCCTTTGCTTAAACTCGTATAAAAAAGTAACCTGAAGTAACCTGATGTTTACCAGTCAAGCTTTTTGTTTTCCCTATTGTTCTGTTTCCTTGTTCCCACCTTACAAAACCCACTGTTCAGCAGTTGCTCATGAGAGCTTTTAGTACATTTGGTGGAATGAAGGCTGCCCTGATTCATAAATCCCAAATAGATGCCTATCTTTGATCTATAACTAAATTTGTTGTAATTTTGTCTTTTGACACTTATAATGACATATGTTTTCAATTTTTATACTTACATTTCTCACTAAAGTGAGTGTGTGGAGGAGAGATTGCGCTAGAGATAGCCTAGCACATGGTGGACATGCAGAAATAGGAAGGAAGGAAGAAGGAAGGAAGGAAGGAAGGAAGGAAGGAAGGAAGGAAGGAAGGAAGGAAGGAAAGAAGAGGAGGGAGGGAGGGGGAGGGAGGGAGGGAGAGGAGGGAGGGAAGGGAGGGAGGAGAAAGAAAAAGAAAGGAAGGGAAGGAAGGGAAGGAGGAAGACAATTTCGTATTAAAGGACTCATAAATGTGGCAAGTTTTGCTGTTATGGCATAATTCAAAGGAAATATTAGCTAAGCTATCTCTCAAAATTATGGTTAATATTCAGCTTTCAGTAAACTGAATTTCCCACCATGAGATTCTTTTCTGGGGGTAAGGAGGGAGGCCAGAATTCATATAAAGCAACATTTAAGCTGAGGGAGGGAGGGAGGGAGGGAGGGAAGGGAGGGAGGAGAGAAAAGAGAAAAAGAGAAAGGAAGGGAAGGAAGGGAAGGAGGAAGACAATTTCGTATTAAAGGACTCATAAATGTGGCAAGTTTTGCTGTTATGGCATAATTCAAAGGAAATATTAGCTAAGCTATCTCTCAAAATTATGGTTAATATTCAGCTTTCAGTAAACTGAATTTCCCACCATGAGATTCTTTTCTGGGGTGGGGGAGGGAGGCCAGGAATTCATACTCTGAAAGCAACCATTTAAGCTGGAAATGCTCCTCTGCATCTAAAATATGACAGATGTCTCCAAGTCTTCAGACCAGGTTAACCAGAGGAGAGAAGGGCCTGGGAAGAAAGGACAAAAAAGTAGACAGTGAGACCCATTTCATGCCAGTTTCCCAGAGATGGTGGGAGAGGAAGGACAGAACAGTACAGACTCATCAGGAACCATTCAGTGCCCAGTTATGACATGTTTAAACACTGCCTTTTTTGAGTTTTTTTGGCAACCCTGTGAGATGGGAGGGTGTCACACATTTCTTCATTTGGAGAAACTGAGCTCCTAAAAGATTAGATAGAAGTAAAACTGGTAACAGCAGCCAAACTTTTCAACAGTCTCTCCTAGAGCAATGCTCTGTGGAAGGGAGAGAGACTATGTTGCCTCCCTAATGATAATGTGCTGATTCTGTTTGTTTAACTAAAGCTACACCAGATTAGCAGACCATAATTACAGCTAAAATCCTTGTCTCTGATACAGTTGACAGAATGTCTGTTTCACTGAGCTGTGCTCCCAGGAAAGGCTTTACTCAAGGTTAAGCCAGGCTGCCTGAAAGCAATAGTGCTGTTTCAGTGTCACACTGGATACTTTATCTGAGCAGCAGGATTTCCTACCCTTGGGTTTCACATGGTTTACTTTGATTTCTTGGGGTGATAAGTAAGTTTGCTCCTCTTTGAAATGTTGTGTTAGTTGCCATACCGTTGTAAAACCTTAAGAACTTTCTTTTGTGTCTGGATAGAAAGATATCTGCCTTTTTCTTTTTATACAACTTTACTGGGCCTTGTTTTAGGGAATTCCTCCCTCCATCCCCCAATTCTTTCCTTGCCTTTCAGCTTTGCAGAACGCAATGAAGTCTGTCATTAATAATCTTTCCTTAACCGGGCGCGGTGGCTCACGACTGTAAGCCCAGCACTTTGGGAGGCTGAAACGGGTGGATCACCTGAGGTCAGGAGTTCAAGACCAGCCTGGCCAACATGGCAAAACCCTTTCTCTACTACAAAAATAAAAATTAGCCCGGCATGGTGGCGAGTGCCTGGAATCCCAGCTACTAGGGAGGCTGAGGAGGAAGAATCGCTTGAACCCGGGAGGCGAAGGTTGCAGTGAGCTGAGATCTGGCCACTGCACTCCAACCTGGATGACAAGAGCAAAACTCCGTCTCAACATAATCATAATAATAATAAATCTTTCCTTTATCGAGTGAACTTTGAATGTTATGCTTAATTCCTTGAGACCTAGAAATGGAATTCAGTGTTTGTTTGATCACTGGTGGTTTTCTACAGTGGATCGAGGAATGTTCTCACCTCTTGCTAGAATCTTTTATATAGTCCTGCTCTCTTCTCTGTCAGGTCCCTTCTCTATTCACTCTCATCTACTTTGTAAATCATAAAGCAAAATGTCAATGAATTTGACTAAAATTTCAAGAAATAAATCAAGGTGAGAAAAGTAAGCTGACAACAGAGTTGAGAGTAAAAGGGGAAGCATTTGAATGGGTCTGTTTTGCTTCCCCCGCCCAAAACCAACCCAGACATTCCTTAAATAGAGCCCACAGTTTGTGGGCTTCCTAATGAATAGTGGCCAAGAGGCAGCTTCACATTTGAGGCATGCTATTACCATTTTTTCTTCATTCCCTCTCCTTAATTAGGGTCTTTCAAGGGAGGCTGCCCTCAGATTCTGACAAACAGTATTAGCTTCCTCAGAATACAAGGCCTGATCCAGCAGCTATTGTCAGGAGAGTTTGCATTGAATCCGTGACATTGTCTATATTTCTAGAATGCAGGAGGAATATCTCGACAGAGAATTAGCTGTGGGTGTTATGAAAAGCTTATTCCTGAAGGTCTGAAGAACTGATTTTAGTAACCCAGAATAATACGGCAGGGAGATAGACTTGATTGGTTTTCAGTTTCACCGTTTGGCTAATGCCCACAATAAGATGCATTTTACCTGTACCAAACACATACGCACCAAAAAAATTCTTGGAACAGTATTTATCCCTTTTCCATGCAATTCCTTCTATTTTCCATTCGGATTTATTTCAGTTTCTAAATGCAAGCCTCCACCTTCTGAATTGATTATCTCACACTAAGGAGTGGCAACCCACTGTTTGAAAAGCACTCAACGGGATGCCCTTTATTTTTCTAACCCTGTAATTCAATATGGAGAGATTCTGAATTGAGGACAAGCCTGATGAGTTTGAGGTATGGAATAAAGGAATTTGATCGGCTCCAGGTTTGTTGTGTTTTTAAATCTTCCTGTGTGTTCATTCTCTTCACCACAGAGAGCACTCTATTATCTTTGCTCAAAGAGCAGACAGTGCTCTAGCTGTTTTCCCCTGCTTAGCTTTGATCCCTGCAGCCATGCTCAGCCCTTCCCCCAAGCCCTCCCTTCCGATGGGTTGAGGCTGTTGAGACTCCAGGGGTTTTCAAGGCTGGGAGCCCACTGAGTGTTCACTGTTCCCACCTCCAATCTGCTCCATCCTCCAGCTACATTTCATTCCGGATCTACCAGGTTAATGGGATTATTGTTCTTCTCTGTTATTCTGTTATTTCATATGGGGTGAATCAGTTTGTTCCTGGGACAATTTTTAGTTGGTGGCTGAGATGACAAAAATGGGTGGGGATTTTATTTTAGGAATAAGTGTTCTTCATCAGCCAGAATTTAATCTGGGAAGAATTTATTCACTCTCAAATGGGTTACTTTTTGAAGTGACTTAAAAATAAGATTTGTTTGGCTGGGTGTGGTGGCTCACACCTGTAATCCCAGCACTTTCGGAGTCTGAGGCAGGAGGATCGCTTGAGCCCAGAAATTCAAAACCAGCCTTGGCAACATATGGAGACCCTGTCTCTATTATTTAAAAAAAATTTTAATAAGATTGTTTTATCAGATAAAAGCAAAGCGTATCTTAAGGCACGACTCACGTTTTAATGCCTATATCATCATCAAATCAACCATACAACATTTTAGCTTCAAATTTTAATTTTGGTTAGAAAGATAAAGTGATAGACTGATTGTATCATTTATTTTATTCATTGTATTCAACATTTACTGAGTACTTATTGGATACAAAGCACGTTTATTGACCTCAAGATATCTAGACCTTTAGAAGGGAGTGTTTTAAAAATGCCTACAAATAGCCATTATATAAAATAAGATTTTAATAAGTGACTATACACAGTATAGTACATAGCCTAATTAGAGTATCTCATCCTTTTCAGAACTCATAAGAGTGAAAAGAGAAATTACTCGTTCCTAGTGTATCTGTTTTATCAAGACATAAGATTGCCAAATTTCTCTATTCTTCATTTTAATTAAATGCATGATTGATTGAGTGAATGCTGAGTGTCTATTTGGTGCCATGTGCTACAAATGTGACAAAATGGTCCTCGATTGATCTTTCTTTGGTTTATTGATGTTTGTCTCGAAAGAATTGATTTCCCAATACCGGGAATGCATGAGCATGGAGAGAGACTGAAAAATGGAAAGAAAGAGACATGAAGTAAGGCTACTGGAGACTCGGGTTTTTCCTTCCTCTCTGATTGTCCAAATCCAATAGAAATATAAAGTGAAGCCGGGTGCATTGGCTCATGTGTGTAATCCCAGCACTTTGAGAGGCCAAGGCAGACGGGTCACCTGAGGTCAGGAGTTTGAGACCAGCTTGGTCAACATGGTGAAACCCCGTTTCTACTGAAAATACAAAAAATTAGCCGGGCGTGGTGGCACTCACTTGTAAATCCCAGCTATTCGGGAGGCTGAGGCAGGAGAATCACTTGATCCTGGGAGACACAGGTTGCAGTGAGCCGAGATCACACCATTGCACTCCAGCCTGGGCAATAGAGCAAGACTCCATCTCAGAAAAAAAAAAAGACATATAAAGTGATATAAAATACAAAATTTTAAACTATAGTAGCAACATTTGAAAAAGTCAAAAGAAACAGATAAAATTCATTTTTAACAACATATCTTACACAATCCGATATATCTAAAATATTATCTCTACAATGTGAAATCAACTAAAAAACATTAGTGAGATAGTTTACATTCTTTCAGGTATTTTTGGACTATTGTCTTCAAAACCTGGCAAGTATTCTTCACTAACAGCACACCTTAATTTTGATTAACCGTATTTCTTGGGTTCAATAACCACAAATCACTCGTGGCTATCCTATTGAACAACATAGCCTAAATAAAGAAGCGGAAGTCAAGGAAAATCTAGATAGTTAATAAATGTCTTTAACATTTAGAGGAAGGGACTCTTACTTCATGGGGTAGGGGGAAATCTGAAAACCAGTCTTTTCTTTCTACCGATGGAGAAATGGGAGTTGCCAACTCAAGATCCACTCCTTTCTCTTCTAGCCTCTCAGATGTGGGGATATGAGACAGGGCTGGAGCTGAACCTCTCTCCAGCACCCCAGAATTAAATCTGCTCTGAGGCAAACAAAGGCGACTCTACAATCCTCACATTAGTATCATGCCTTGCAGTTGATAAATGCTTTCATATACAATATATCATCTGATATTTAATCATACCTCGAGGTGGTCAGTTGAAGTATTACTATCCTTACCGTATAGATGAATGTTCTGGGGCTCAGGGAGATTAAATGGCTTGCTCCAAAGTAGCACAGTTAGTATCCAAGTGTTTTCAAACTTAAGCTAGTGTATGTCCCACTAAACCAGAGTGGCCTGGCAAAGGAAGTTAAGAAAATATTTACAGAAGTATGATTTTTTTAATTCTCTGGGCACATTTCATCTATTCAATCCCCCCCCCCCAAAAAAAAAAAACACTGGTGATCATTTTACAAAAGCATTGCAGAAGTAACCTCTTGGCCAATTGAGTTTTTAACTGGGTTTTTGTACTTTTTTTTTTAAGTTGGACCTCATTGTCTAGTGTAGCAATTTAGAACATCTAATTCTTGACAGCAAGTCTATATATTACAAAGGCAGAGTTTTTGCATCGGCCCTGAAGTGTGTTGCAATCATTTTTGTCTGGGAAAACAAACAAAAGTGGATCGGCAGCATGGTTGTCATATGAGATGCTGGCTGAGTCCCAGGCCCCAGGACGTTGGTTTACCTGCCAACAATACTTCCCTTTCAGGCAATGCCAACTGTTTTATGAGAAGATCACAGTTCTCTGGAAGTGAGCTTTTGTGTTTTGCTCTAATCAGCAAGATCCAACTTTACTACTGTCATGGAGGGAATTACAGTCATTCTATCAACTTTTGATGCAACCTTCTTCTGACACCGTGTGAAACAGACTGGAAAGACTCTAAAGTTGGAGAGAGCTCAATGCTTGAGAAAAGGAATTCTGTTTTTTGAAAGGTCTCTAGAACAAAGGGTATGCAATAGGTTTATCACTTCAATTTCAGAAACATCATGGGCTCTAGAAACACATTCTCATCCATCTGTTTCTATTGCTCCTGGTTTTTTTTCTGCTCCACCCAATTGTCTTCCTATTTTTATCTCTTTCATTCCACTCTGGAGCCGTGTTGCTTGGTCAGGCCACCATTCAAAATAAATGATTTTTTTCCCTCTTTTATGTTACACCTACTTTCTTAATACTTGGCTGTTACTTTTCTCAATTAACCTTTGGCAAATCATAATGAAATTAAATTTAGCTTGTTGTAGAGAGAAAGAGTCATTGTAGAAGCTGGGATGGTCTGGAAGGGAATTAAAAATTATTTTGATAGCCCTCAGAATGTGGACAGAAATTGTAAAAATCCAGCTGGGAGTCAGTGTATCCAGTTCATCTCATTCGCAGTAAATCGTTGGGCGTCTCCTTGTAGCTGCCACAGTAATGCTAATGATGATGACTTCTTGCTTGAAGTGCTGAGTGTTGAATCCTTTGCCCCAGTTATGTGCCACATACTGATTTCCTTAACAGTAGACAAATACTGGAAACACAAAAGGAAGAAGCCGGGTCCTACTAAGCCACTCCCTTTGTCTAGTTTATCACTCAGTTCTGTCTATTTTTTCCTTCCTCTGTAGGAAATGGGGAGTTCGTAAATGATAATAACAAACTTGCAGAAAAATATTAAGATAGAAACTTTCGTAGCAGCCAGCATTTTTCTAAGAGGAGGTCAAAGCATAAAGAAAGAAATTGATCAGCCTCTGTTCCTATCTCCCCCAAAAACTCCTTCTCTAGAAATCCTACTCTCAGAAACTAGTAATCAGGCATTAAGAAAAATTACTTAATCCACTGGGCCGATTCATGTAGCTTATTAGCTATCTTCCTTTAGACTGAAAAAAAAAAATTAGCCAAATTATTTACTAGCAAATCCGGAAAGTAGGTAAAGTTCTTTAGCAGTTTAATGTTACTGTAACAGTCTGATTCACACACATTTATAAAATTCTCATCACACAAGTTGACACACCCACAAGAAAGAAATGTCATCCATGACAATGGGACTATCGTGTCTTTTATAGCATACATTCTACTATACATTTACTGGGATCAAGGAAAAATGTACCCTTTGCCCTCTGAAGGCTTACTGAAAAATCAACTGACGAAAGGCAGATTAATAGGCGAAATGGCATACAGGTGTGTTAGTGTGCACGAGGGAGAATCACAGAATGATTGTCCAATATCCCAGTGAGGTACAGATGGCTGTATACACTTCTTAGGGGGAAGACAGATAGAGACGTGCAGACGATCGATTTTTAAGGGATTCCAATGGGCTTGGAGAACATACAGTGGCCTGGGATAAAGTATTTTGGGCGGGCAGAGCAGACAATGGTTTGTGACCAGTCTGTCCAGGCATGTTGATAGAATTCAGTCTTTCTTCCCATGAGTTCAGTTAATGAAAACTCAGGGAAGCAGCCAGAAGTAATTGTTTTCTTCATTGTCAGGTCCAAAATGTAGGCAAATAAGGAATTTCAGGGGACAACTTCATCCTGCACCGAGGATTAAGAGACAGGAAGGGGAGGAGGCCCAAGAGACCTTGAGGCTTCTTCAGTTCAGCATGTCAAAGTACCATCTTTTGGAGTATCCATTTCTAAGCTCCAACACATTCAAAGTACCTCAAAAGAACCAGATGCTGCTAAGATAGTTCACAGGAAGATTCTGTCCTCCTCTCTGCATCCTATATTTAAAATTCAAGTGGTTTCTCTTTCTAGGCTACCCCATAACTTTGTTGGTTAAAAGATGTGCTACTCATTTAAAATGTCAAATTACATAGTCAGAGAACTGGCCTACCTGATTCACATACTCTGCCTTTCTCAGTCCCTGTAATCTCAGCATCATACATTCCATCTTTTCAATGTGCATATTAAAACGTATCTTAAGGACTATACTACTTGTATTGAAACAGAAGAGTATCTGCGAACGCTGATTCAGCCTGCAAAATACATAGAAAAGTAGCAAGAAAAATGATGTAACACCCCATGTTGGTATACTGGCCTGGTTTCAAGGCTGAAAGCAGTCTGAAAGGGTCTGAAAAAAGTCTGAAAATGTGTGTGTGTGTGTGTGTGTGTGTGTGTGTGTGTGCAGCCATGCCTAACAGCTCACGTTTAGCTTTCTTTTTTTTTCCTTTTCTTCTTTTTGATACAGAGTCTTATTCTATCACCTAGGCTGGAGTACAGTGGTGCGATCACAGCTCCCTGCAGCCTCCATCTCCTGGACTCAACCAATCCTCCTGCCTCAGCCTCCCAGGTAGTTGGGACTACAGGTACGTGCCACCACCGTCAGCTAATCTTTTAAGTTTTATTTTTAGTAGAGATGAGGTCTCACTATGTTGCCCAGGCTGGTCTTGAACTCCTGGCCTCAAGCAATCCTGTCACTTCAGCCTTCCAAAGTGCTGGGATTACAGGCATGAGCCACCCAGCCCAGTCATGTTTGGCTTTCTTTTTCCTTTTTTTTTAAACTTCAACTTTTGTTTTAGATACGGAGGTACATGTGCAGGTTTGTTACATGGGAATATTGCATGATGCTGAGGTTTGGGGTTATAATTCCATCACCCAGGTAGTAAGCATACCATACAATAGGTTTTTCAACCCTCCCACCCCCAACCCTGTAATAGTCTCTAATGTCTTTTCCCATATTTATGTCCCTGTGTGATTAGGTCACTTCCCAGAATGCTATATACCCACACACATTGAGAAAGGTTTTGGCACTAGAATTGCCCTGGGTGATTGTGTTGGAACGGGTGCCAAGACAGTAATGTTCTTACCTGAAACACTGCTGGAGTCTGCAGGAAGGCACTGATCCACCCTTCCTACAACTTGTTCATGCCAAAAAATACAAGGAAAGATGTAGCTCCCCGAGAGAGAGGGCGAGAAACCCTTGCCTCCTTTTAAATGAGTAGAACTTAAAGTTATGAATTAAGATAAAGAGAAAACATAAAACAAATATCTTTCAAAGAGTAGTAAAATATTAGAACCCTAAAAGATCTGATGGGCACACTTACCTTGCTTGTTTCACCCTCATCATCATCATACAAGTTTACTTCATTTAAAAACCAGAAAACATAGAGAAGCATAGAAAGCACTCCAGTCCCCCATAATTCCACCTCCTAAACATGCATACATTTATAGACTATGGTTCCATGGAACCTGATATATACAGGACCTGATACAGATGGATAAATTTTTCCCACCAAAATATCATAAATTATATTTCATTGTAGAAAATGTTTTTCTTACTTAACAACAAATCACTGTCAGTAAATAAATATTTACCACATCATTGGTTGTTTTTTTGGGTGCTTTTGTTGTTGTTGTTGTTGTTTTGAGACAGGATCTTGCTGTGATGCTCAGGCTGGAGTGCAGTGGCGCGATCTCGGTTCACTGCAAACTCTTTCTCCTGGGCTCAAGCAATCCTCCCACCTCAGCCTCCTGAAGAGCTGGGATCATAGGTGTGCCACCATGCCTAGCTAATTTTTTGTATTTTTGGTAGAGACAGGGTTTCACCATGTTGCCCAGGCTGGTCTCCAACTCCTGTGCTCAAGAGATCCTCCCACCTTGGCCTCCCAAAGTGCTGTGACTACAGGCCTGAGCCCCTGTGCCCAGCACACCACGTCATTGTTAATGAGTACATAGTACTCTCTTAAGTGGATGTATTTTAAGTTATTTAACTAATACCCTATCATTGATTGCTTGAGTTCTTTTCAACTTCTACAATGATAATTAATTCTATAATAAACAGTCTTCCAGCCAGGTGTGGTGGCTCACACCTGTAATCTCAACACTTTGGGAGGCTGAAGCGGGTGGATCATGAGGTCAGGAGTTCGAGACCAGCCTAGCCAACATGGTGAAACCTCATCTCTATTAAAAACACAAAATTAGCCAGGTGTGGCAGCACATGCCTGTAATCCCAGCTACTCAGGAGGCTGAGGCAGGAAAATCACATGAACTGGGGAGGCAGAGGTTGCAGTGAGCTGAGATCAGGCCATTGCACTCCAGCCTGGCACTCTGTCTCAAAAATAAATAAATAAGAATTAATTAATTAATTAACAAACCCAGATTTCAGGTGTCTCCTAATTTGAGGGACCAGGAGGGAACACCATGACCATGCATAGCTGCCTTTGTGTTCATCCCTTACATTGTAACTACCAGGATATGTGAACTCAGCCTGTCTTTGAAGCTCCTGAATAATCCTCTAATGTAAAAACCTTAGTGAACATGTAAACATAACTGGAGTTTTCATAGAGAAGGTGGAAAACAGGTTTTGCAAAACACATCTCACAGAAAAAATTCCCTCACAGACATGTCTGTTCTTACTCATTACCTGTTATATCTGGGACTGGGGTAGAGGGTGGTTTGCAAACAAATCAGTTCTCCTCAACTTGCTTCCTCAAACTTGTCCTGATGCTCAGCCAAACAAAGGAGCCTCCAGTTACCAGAAATTGCCCTTCTTAGAAGAAAATTTAGCAATCATCTAAACTTGTTTTAAACATGCCCTTTGAGATATCATGCCCAGCTCCAGCAGTTTGTATTAGAGTATTTCTTCAGATCCTTTTCTGTTAAATCCTTCAAGAGTGTTAACTTTTCTTCAGCTAGTTTCTGCCCATTTCTTGTCAATTTTCTTTCTAGTTTTGTTTTGTTTTGTTTTTTCTTATTTTTCTTTCTGTTTTTTGTCTGCTTGTTTTGGTTTTGGTTTTGGGTTTTGTTCGAGACAGTCTTGTGCTATGTTGCCCAAGCTGGTCTCAAACTCCCAGGCTCAGGCAATCCTCCCACTTCAGCCTCCTGAGTAGCTGGGATTACAGGTGTGTGGCATCATGCTCAGTTCCTTTTCTAATAATTTTTTCTTCTCTGGTTGCTACTGCAGTTGGTGACTTTACTCCACTATATTTTCTAATCAACTCTTCTTTATATATAGAAAAAGTATTGATTTAGATATTTTTGTGTGTGTGAAGTCAACTACCTTACTGATTGATCTTATTGTTTCTTCTGTTTTAATTGATATATTATTGTTATCCACAAACAATAATCGTGTCTCTTTATATATAGAAAAAGTATTGATTTAGATACTTTTTTGTGTGTGAAGTCAACTACCTTACTGATTGATCTCATTGTTTCTTCTGTTTTAATTGATATATTATTGTTATCTGCAAACAATAATCATGTCTCCTTCTTTCGAGTATTCATACCTCTTATTACTTTCTCACGTCTAATTACATTGAGTAGTGCCTCTAAATTAAGAGTACTAGTAGTGATGATGGACTTCTTTGTCTTCCATTGCAAAAACTTTTAATGCTTCCATGAAAAACAACACTGATTTTGACATATAGTTTAAACATATACTCATATACACACACAATTTTAATTTCAAAGAGTTTACATTTATTCCTATTTAGTGATGGTTTATGTTCCTCATCTGTATATTTGCTTTGTTTGCTTTTATTTTTAAACTAGGAAGAAATATTGGATTTGTGAAAATCCTTTGAGATATCAGTCTACTGACCCATACTGAATTTGAATTATCTTCTTTTTAAACACTTAAATAAACTTAGACATGTTTATGGGCTGTTCATTCTATTGTAGCAATTTACAAGTCATTTCTAACACAAAAACAGTACAGGTCTATTTACTGAACATTTTAACACATTATAATAGCTAGAAATATTAGTCCATATATATATATATATATATATATTTTTTTTTTTTTTTTAAGACGGAGTCTGGCTCTGTCACCCAAGCTGGAGTGCAATGGTGCGATCTCGGCTCACTGCAAGCTCTGCCTCCCGGGTTCAGGCCATTCTTCTGCCTCAGCCTCCTGAGTAGCTGGTACTACAAGCACCTGCCACCACGACCGGCTAATTTTTTTTTTTTTTCTTTTTTTAGTAGAGATGGGGTTTCACCGTGTTAGCCAGGATGGTCTTGATCTCCTGACCTTGTGATCCGCCCGTCTCGACCTCCCAAAGTGCTGGGATTACAGGCGTGAGCCACTGCGCCGGGCCTTAGTCCTTCTATTTTTTTAATCTTTAAGATTTTCTTGGTAGGGCATGGTGGCTCACGCCTGTAATCCCAGCACTTTGGGAGGCCAAGGTGGAAGAATCGCTTGAGCTCAGGAGTTTGGGACCACCCTGGGCAACATAGCAAGGCCCTATCTCATAAAAAATAAAAATAAAATAAAATAATAAAATTAATTAATTTAAAAAAGATTTTCTTGCTTCTTGTGTCTTCATATCCTAGCCATTATCATAGTACTATCATGTAGATAGCTAAAATTAATAAGATAGTTAGAAAATAATATAAAATAATTTGGGGCACTTTTATTTAAAAATTAAAATACATCCAGTACCATAAATTCCAGGAGAGGCAGAAATCAATATGAGCTTAATGAGTGATGGAAATTACCATAGATTTATTTTTTGCAGGTACAGAAGATGAGAGAGAGAAATTACAGAGTGATGGAGAAGGCAGACATCATGCAACATGATCAAGGGCTATTCATTTTAAGCAGAAACATACATATGTAGAAAGCACCCTTGTACTTCTAATACCAATGACTATAAAGAAAAATAGTGTAGCCAAATAGTTCCTAGAATAGGAAAAATAAGGAATTATATTTTGAGATAAGAAGTTAAGCTCTAGTATAATAATTATATTGGGTCAAAGAAAAATGAAAACAAATTTTAAAAATCTTACAACATGAATAAAAGTTTCACCAAATCAGGAGTCTATTATAAGCATGTTTTGAGTTATTTTCTTTCCCAAAGAGTTTATTTTTGTTTTAATTTATTTAAGTAGTATACACTTCTGAAAACATTTAATTAATGTAATACCGGTTCTTGTAAAATATGAGGTTGAGCAATTCCATTAAGCTATAGGAAGGTGAAGAGAGAATGTCTGGTAAATGAATTTCAAATAAGCTCCTTCGCTCATGCCTATAATCCCACCACTTTGGAAGGCCAAGGCCGGCAGATCACATGAGGTCAAGAGTTCAAGACCAGCCTAACATGCTGAAACACCGTCTCTATTAAAAATACAAAAATCAGCCAGGTGTAGTGGTGGGCGCCTGTAATCCCAGCTGCTCAGGAGGATGAGGTAGGAGAATCACTTGAACCAAGGAGGCGGAGGTTGCGGTGAGCTGAGATCGCATCATTGCACCCCAACCTGGGTGACAGAGTAAGAATATGTCAAAAGAAAAAAAAAAGAAAAAAAAAGAATCGACCGGGCTCAGTGGCTCATGACTCAAATCCCAATACTTTGGGAGGCTGAGGCAGGAGGATCACTTGAGCCCAGAAGTTTGATCCCAGTCTGGGCAACACAGGGAGACCCCCGTTTCTATAAAAATTTTTTTACAAAAAAAAACAAACCAAAAAAAAAAAAAAAGGCTGGGCGTGGTGGCTCAAGCCTGTAATCCCAGCACTTTGGGAGGCCGAGACGGGCGGATCACGAGGTCAGGAGATCGAGACCATCCTGGCTAACACGCTGAAACCCCCTCTCTACTAAAAAATACAAAAAACTAGCCAGGCGAGGTGGTGGGCGCCTGTAGTCCCAGCTACTCGGGAGGCTGAGGCAGGAGAATGGCGTGAACCCGGGAGGCGGAGCTTGCAGTGAGCTGAGATCCGGCCACTGCGCTCCAGCCTGGGCAACAGAGCAAGACTCCATCTCAAAAAAAAAAGTTTTTTTAAAAAGAGAATAAGGGAATCATAAAGTTGGAAAGGTACATGAAAATCATTCATCCTGTGATTTCTAACTCTAGCTGAGCTTTTAATAAAATGCCAACAATGCCCAGGTCTTATGCTAAGAAAATTTGATTACTCTTGTTTTATGTGGTGAAGGAGTAGCGCTGTGTGTGTGCACGCGTGCGTGTGTGTGTAGAGACGGGGCTCCCTATGTTGCTCAGGCTGGTGACAAACTCCTGAGCTCAAGCAATCCACCTGCCTTGGCCTCCCAAAGTGCTGGGATTACAGGCATAAACCAGCAGGCCCAGCTAAGTAGTATTTTTTAAAGTTCCCCAAATACTTCTAATATGCACCAGAATTAAGGACACCCTATCTAATCCTACTCCTTCATTTTCCTGATGAGGCAATATGAGAGGTGACATCACTTAGGAGAGTGAGTAAGGGATATACTAAAAATAACTAAAGTTACTCAACGCAAAATGTTCTCTTTCCATCAGATCGTAGATTCATTATGGAAGGAATGATCAGAAAATCAAGAGATTGGGAAGAATTGGCTTACCAACTAGACTGAAAGTAAAGCAACTGCAAGCTGTATGTGGTGGCACTTCAAATAGGAGTAGTGGGAACTAACACGAAAAGAAAAAAATGATTACAGTTGGCAGGCAAAGGAGGGATCTGTGCAGGAAATAAGTTGGCTGAATAAATAGAATGAGCTAAGACTAGATTATCCAAACACGAGATTCATTTCTAAATCAGACAGAGCTGAACTTAACAACAACTCTATCTACTTGTAGTTTCCTATCTGTATAAATTTTACACTGGTAATGAGCATGGATTTGCAGTTCTCTGCAAATCTTACTTCTGAAAATGAGAATATAGGCGGCTCGCTGGTTCAGAGGAACTGAGAATGGAAATTACATTGTTTCATGAGGTCAAATTTTTCTCAGGTTTACTCACACATTTAGAGTATCAAAATAAATAAATTGAGGGTGGCAAGGAGGGAGAACCAATGCAGGAGGTCAACTAATATTTATTGGCAGAAGAGCAAGGGGAAAAATGTGGTGGTGTTTTGTTTTCCATGAACAGCTCCAATCTCTTCATCCTCCCTCCAAGCCAATTTTATTTCCAGATGGTCTTTACATTCTACGACTTAAAAGAAATAGAGTCTTTCCAGGAGCAGTAGCTCACGCCTGTAGGAAGGTTGCTTGAGGTCAGAAGTTTGAGACCAGCCTAGTCAACATGGTGAGACTCAAATCTTTTTTTTTTTTTTTGAAACAGAATCTCCCTCTGTCACCCATGCTGGAGTGTAGTGGCACGATCACGGCTGACTGTAACCTCTGTCTCCCGGGTTCAAGCGATTCTCCTGCCTCAGCCTTCCAAGTAACTAGGATTACAGGCATATGCCACCATACCTAGCTAATTTTTGTATTTTTAGTAGAGATGGGGTTTCACTGTGGCCAGGCTGGTCTGGAACTCCTGACCTCAGGTGATCTGCTGCCCGCCTTGGCCTCCTAAAGTGCTGGGATTACAGGCGTGAGCCACCACTCCCGACCAAGACTCAAATCCAGATAAATAAATAAATATGTTACAGCTCAGGTCTTTTAGAATTTGTCTAGCAGGTTCCTTAGTCTTCACCAGAACACCCCCCAACCCCCACCACCCCACCAAAAAACGTTTTATCCAGGATAAAACTGCTTGCCTTATTATTTTCTTAAATTTCATGCTGCAATCATTTATACAGTTTCCCAACTTTTTTAGCATGAATCTTTCAAAATACAATTTTCTTATCTCAGTTTGTGATCCTGATCATATGTCAAGTAATGTAATTTTGTGATTCATACTTTCAGAATATTTTGTCTTAATTTCCTGATTTTTGCACACACATATACAAATAAATCTCCATTTTTCTTTTCTGTATTCTTCTTTTATTTATTTATTTATTTATGTATTTTTGAAGATGGGGTCTCACTCTGTTGCCCAGACTGTGTATGGCTAGAATGGTGTGAGACTTAGAAATTACTGTAGATATTGTTCATCCAAGTTCTCATAATGAAAATTGTGAGACATCAAATCACTCTTTTTTATGTTACGAACCATGTGCTTCATAAACTCAGATCTCAAAGCTGTATAGTAATAATACTGTAGATTCAATCTAAATGTCAGCCCACCCAAATATAGACTATTGGATATAGAAATATTGCCACCCAAATATGACTTCCCAATAATCGTAATAGTAAGCCCATACAAAAATAAATCATCAAAGACTTTTTAGCTGCCTATCTACCATCCACTCTCTTTTCTATAGTTTTCAAAAGTCTAATGGCTCCAACTTCAAAGTAAATCTGACTCAGTATTAGTCAGGGAAAGTCACTCCCAACGTTCCTTGGCCCTTTCACCTTAATTCAGAATTCTTCCATTTTTTTTTCCTAAAAGAATCATCAATGGCTCTTGAATTTTTTTTTCTTTTTTTGCACATATCCATCCACAAATGTCCCTCTTCCATTCTCCCCACAGGTACAGTGATATCTAATGATGGGTTACAATTTTTTTTTGTTTCCCCTTTAATAAATTTAGGGGCCTGAATAATTACTAAACAGCCAATTTTATATCTTTAAAATAAGTGTATCCAGGCTGGGAGCCGTGGCTCACGCCTGTAATCCCAGCACTTTGGGAGGCAGACGCGGGAGGATCACGAGGTCAGGAGATAGAGACCATCCTGGCTAACACGGTGAAACCCCGTCTCTACTGAAAATACAAACAATTAGCCGAGTGTGGTGGCGGCGCCTGTAGTCCCAGCTACTCGGGAGGCTGAGGCAGGAGAATGGCGGGAACCCGGGAGGCGGAGCTTGCAGTGAGCTGAGATCGCACCACTGCACTCCAGCCTGGGCGACAGAGCAAGACTCCGTCTCAAAAAAAAAAAAAAAAAAGAAAAGAAAAGAAAAAAGAAAAACCCTAAATCAAACAAAATCCCTGCCTTTATGGAGTTGGCAGTAATTTAATTCTCATGTTGCCCCTATTGGGTAGGGACTATTATGACCTCATTTTATAGATATGGAACACATAGTAACAAAATTTACGTAAAGACACAGGGCAGGGGCTGGGTGCGGTGACTCACACCTGTAATCCCAGCACTTTGGGAGGTGGAGGCTGGTGAATCACTTGAGGTCAGGAGTTCGAGACCACCCTGGCCAATATGGTGAAACCCTGTCTCTACTAAAAATACAAAACCTGGCATGGTGGCACGCACCTGTAATCCCAGCTACTTGAACCTGGGAGGCTGAGGTTGCTGCGAGCTGAGATTGTGCCACTGCACTCCAGCCTGGGTGACAGAGTGAGACTCCATCTGAAAAAAAAAAAAAAAAAAAAACCGGCGAGGCACAGTGACTGATGCCTGTAATCCCAGCACTTTGGGAGGCCAAGGTGGGTGTATTACCTGAGGCCAGGAGTTCGAGACCAGCCTGGCCAACATGCGAAACCCCGTCTCAACTAAAAAAAATTAGCCAGGCATGGTGGTGGGCGCCTATAATCCCAGCTACTCAGGAGACTGAAGCAGAAGAATTGCTTGAACCCGGGAGGCGGAGGCTGCAGTGAGCCGAGATGGCGCCACTGCGCTCTAGCCTGGGCAAGAGTGAAACTCTGTCTCAAAAAAAGACACAGGTTAAACGACTCACAGGTAAATCTGGAAATTGGGGTTAGTGTGAACTTTCACTTTCACATAATGTATTTTGATATATTTAAATTTTTAATAAACTTATTTTACTTTTATGCTAATTAGTTTTGTAATTAAAATGCGAGTTAAAATATTTTTAAATGATTTATCACTTCCAGTTTCTTGTTTAAAACAATCCTACCTTTCCCGGCCCTCCATGATCTAGTCCCATTTGCTTCTCCAACTCTCATTGCTCCTCGCCTCATGCACTCTCCATTCCAGCTACCCTAGGTTAATGTCTCTCTTGAGTTTGGGACTTCTGTTCGCTCATTATTCCGTTACCTGAGAAACCAAGTAAGATCTTGCACACAAATTATGAACCAAAATTAATTATAAAGAGAAGTTTCTTTCATATTGAATCAAAATCCGCTTTTCTTTTTTTTTCTTTTCTTTTTTCTTTTCTTTTGGGGGGGTCAGAGTTTCACTCTTGTCGCTCAGGCTGGAGTGCAATGGCGCCATCACCGGCTCACCACAACCTCCGCCTCCTGGGTTCAAACGATTCTCCTGCCTCAGCCTCCCAAGTAGCTGGGATTACACGCATGTGCCACCACACCCCGCTAATTTTGGTTTTTTAGTAGAGACGGGGTTTTTCCATGTTAGTCAGGGTGGTCTTGAACTCCCAACCTCAGGTGATCCACCCGCCTCGGCCTCCCAAAGTGCTGGGATTACAGGCGTGGGCGACTGTACCCGGCCCCAAATCTGCTTTTTTATAAAGATTTTTACCAATCAGTCCTAGTATTCTATTAGATATTTACAGTTCTCTCTGTGTGTGTGTGTGTGTGTCTCTCTCTGTGTCTTTCTTTCTTTCTTTCTTTCTTTTTTTTTTTTATTGTCTCGCTCTGTTGTCCAGGCTGGAGTGCAATGGCACAATCTCGGCTCATTGCAGCCTCCGCCTCCCAGGTTCAAGAGATTCTCCTGCCTCAGCCTCCCGAGTAGCTGGGACCACCGGCTTGCACCACCATGCCTGGCTAATTTTTGTAGTTTTAGTAGAGACCAGGTTGATATTTACAGGTTTCTATCCAAGGTATCGTCACAAGACAATACCAGCAGCATTTAAATATTTATACATAAGTTTTCTCTTTCTAAGTTAAGCTTCTCTAACGCTTTCAGACATTTTGCTGGCTGAATCTTGTTTCAACAGCCTTTACCATCCTAGCTTCTTTTCTTAGCTAGAATACTCCACTTTGCCAATATCCTTCCTGAAGTGGGGCATGCTGGAGAGTACACCAGAGTCCAGGGCTGAAATGAGTAGTTAGAAAGCAAACAGCCTCCTGTGCTTTGTTTTTTTCTGAACTTTGTGTATGTGGAGCTCTTATTGTATTCACTTCCTTGACAGTGTGTCCCACATCACTGAATCACAGTTCACTACTGCAGTAATCAGCAATGGCTATCACGGTGCTGAGTCCTCTGCACCTAATACCTTACTCTACTGAGTAAGGTATTATTCAGCATATTCTACTTAAGAAGGCAGGAAAGCATTTAATATAAATAGCATTTAATTCAATTTATATTTTCATATAAATGAATTCTTTAAAAAAAAAAAATTGGTGTTTATTCAGGAGGTAGTCACACAGCTATCTGGAGCACTTTATTCTCCAAAAAAACCTCAATTCCCCCAAACAATCTGGAGAGGCAACATTTAATTGTATCATGAATCAATAAGTAGCAGTACTTCAAGTGACCAACTTTTTTGTTGTTGTTGAGGCAGAATCTCATTCTGTCACCTAGACTGGAGTGCAAGTGGCATGACCACAGCTCACTGCAGCCTTGACCCCCCAGGCTTAAGCAATCCTCCCTCCTCAGGCTCCTGAGTAGCTAGGACTACAGGCACACGTTGCCACCATGCCTGGCTCATTTTCTTTTCTTTTCTTTTTTTTTTTTTTTCAGTTTTTTGTAGAGACAAGAGTCTCCCTGTGTTGCCCAGGCTGGTCTTGAACTCCTGGGCTCAAGCAATCCTCCCCACTCGGCCTCCCAAAGTGCTGAGATTACAGGCATGAGCCACCATGCCCAGCCAAGTGACCAAAATATTATCATCTTCTTTCTCCGTTATCTATTATCTTTCTAGCTACAAAGAGCATCTTCTAGTCGCGTTCCGATGATGTTATTGCTTTTCCTCAATACTTCTGTTGGTGCATGGGTGGTTCAGTGGTAGAATTCTCGCTTCCCACGCGGGAGGTCTGGGTTCAATTCCCGGCCCATGCAGTACATTACTTGGTTTTGGGCCGGGCAGCGCAGTGAGCTGTTTGTAGTCCAGCCTCAGCAACAATGAGCGAAACTTCGTCTGAAAAACATACAAAAAACCTTTTCGGGGATCCCAGATGCTTCTTAAGTTGAGTGATTTATAGGACAGGCTTTGTGACCCTATGATTGATTGACCGTCCTTTATCACAAAAGACTCTAGTTTTCCTCCCATAGAGCATTTCCTCCCCAGTCAGGAGAGAGACTTCCCCACAAGCATGTCTCAGCTCAGCCATGTGGAGTTTGCGCATGTGTTTGCCATGTTAATCCCTCCTTCCTAAGAGTTCTCTCTGGGGTTGTGAATCTTTTCAAATGGTATGCGTTGGACAGCTAAAATGGACTGATTTAAATCACTGTTCACAAACTGAAAATACAGTGGAATCAAAGTTCAGAAAAGATGGCCTGAGGACCTTGCTTTACTAGGAAGCAAGTTCTGGAACCAACACTTGTTTTTGGACTGTCCTTTCCTATCTTCTATTTATTATCTTTATTATATTCTCCCTGCTCCCTATTGCCCCCACCCCTTCACTTTTTAACCTCTTCCCGTAAGACACTAAACATATGCAAGAATATGGGTGAAAACAGTAAAAATAATAGTTAACACTTGACAAGAGTGTTTCAGATAGACCCAGGCTCTTTACTAACTTTATCCCTAATCTTCACAATAGTTCATATAAGGAAGAGATGGACGCACTTATTTTTTATTATTTTTAGTACAGATGGGGTTTCACCATGTTAGCCAGGATGGTCTCGAACTCCTGACCTTGTGATCCGCCCACCTCAGCCTCCCAAAGTGCTGGGATTACAGGCGTGAGCCACTGTGCCTGGCCTGATTTAGGGTTTTTCAACCTCTGTACTACTGAGTAATTTCCAGCAGTGGAAAGAGGGGCTGGTGTCCTGAGCATTGTGGGTTGTGTAGCAGCATCTCTGGCTTCTGCCCACTTCTACCTACAACAAAAAATATTTATAGACGTGGCCAAATGTCCTCTGGGGGCAAAACCACTGGTCTAATTTACTGCTGAGTGCCTGTCACCCAGCACAGTGTGCAATAAATCTTTGTTGAATTGAATGAATGAAGTGAATGCACATAGGAAGCCCTCAGTAAGTGTTAGCTATTTTTATTATACTATTTTCCAACTATATAAATTTCTACATAAGTGGGATCCGATTATGTGTACTTCACTACAAATTGCATTTTTTCCTCTAACAATCTACCTTGGTTATGTTTTTATATCACCACCACCATTTTATACAGTTGTATCTCAATAGCTTTCTATGGAGTCACAGTAGTTTTACAATTCATTTATTCAATTCATTATTGATGTATATCTAGGCTAATTTCAATTTGTTGCTATTATAAATAATGCTACAAAGAACATTTTTTTCAGTATGAATTTTTACTTAATGACACATCCAGAGCTATGCAATGTATCATGTCCTAATTTGGAAAGGGATTTTTGTATTAGGCAGGGTTCTCCAGAGAAACAGAATCAATAGGATGTGTGTATACATAAGGTAACTTGTTTATAAAGAAATTGGCTTACACAATTATGGAGGTTGGCAAGTCCAAAATCTGCAGGGGAGATCAGCTGGCTGAAGACCCAGGAAACAGTTGATGTTGCAGTTCAAGTCCCAAAGTCATCTGCTACAGATTCCCTTGTGTGGCAGGGAGCTCGTTCTATTCAAGCCGTCAACTGATTGGATGAGACTCACCCACATTAGGAATAGTAATCTGGGCCAGGCGTGATGGCTCACACCTGTAATTCCAGTACTTTGGGAGGCCAAGGCAGGTGAATCCCTTGAGCTCAGGAGTTCGAGACCATCCTGGGCAACATGGCAAAACCCCATCTCTACAAAAAATACAAAAATTAGCTGGGCATGGAGGCGCATGCCTGTGGTCCCAGCTACTCACAAGGCTGAGGTGGGAGGATCGCTTGATTCCAGGAGGTCGCGGCTGCAGTGAGCTGAGATTGTGCCACTGCACTCCAGCGTGGGTAACAGAGTAAGAGCCCCTGTGTATCAGTCCATCTTCACACTGCTATAAAGAACTACCTGGGGCCGGGCGCAGTGGCTCATGCCTGTAATCCCAGCACTTTGGGAGGCCAAGGCAGGCAGATCACAAGGTCAGGAGATCGAGACCATCCTGGCTAACACAGTGAAACCCTGTCTCTACTAAAAGTACAAAAAATTAGCTGGGTGTAGTGGCGGGCGCCTGTAGTCCCAGCTGCTCAAGAGGCTGAGGCAGGAGAATGGCGTGAACCTGGGAGGTGGAGTTTGCAGTGAGCCGAGATCACACCACTCCACTCCAGCCTGGGTCACAGAGCAAGACTCCATTTCAAAAAATAAATAAATAAAAGAAAAGAAAATACAAATACAAATACAAAAATTAGCCGGGTGTGGTGGCACGCTCCTGTAATCCCACTTACTCAGGAGGCTGAGGCAAGAGAATTGCTTGAACCCGAGAGGTGGAGGTTGCAGTGAGCTGAGATCACGCCACTGCACTACACCCTGGGCGACAGAGCAAGACTCTGTCTCAGAGGGTGTGTGTGTGGGGGGGGTGCGGGTGTGGGGAAAGAACTACCTGGGACTGCATATTTTATAAAGAAAATAGGTTTAATTGACTCACAGTTCTGCATGGCTGGGGAGATCTCAGGAAACTTACAATCATGGTGGAAGGTAAAGGAGAAGCAAGCACCTTCCTCATAAGGTGGCAGGAGAGACAGAGAATGAGGGGAAGTGCCACACTTTTAAACCATCAGATCTCACGAGAACTCACTATCACAAGAACAGCATGGGGGAAACCACCACCATGATCCAATCACCTCCTACCAGGTCCCACCCTCAACATGTGGGATTACAGTTGGAGATGAGATTTGAGTGGGGGCACAAAGCCAAACCATATCAGCCTGTCTCACAAATAAAAAAAGGAATAGTAACCTGTTTTATTCAAAGTCCACCAGCTTGAATGTCAGTATCATCCACAAACATGCTCACAGAAACATTCAGAATAATGTTTGATCACATATCTGGGTATCATGACCCAGCCAAGTTAAAGAAAGTAAAATTAGCCCAGTGCAGTAGCTCACACCTGCAATCCCAACATTTTGGGAGGCTGAGACAGATAGATTGCTTGAGCCCAGGAGGTCAAGACCAGCTTGGACAACACGGAGAAACCCCATTTCTACAAAGAGATATAAAAATTAGCAGGGGGTGGTGGCGCACACCTGTAGTCCCTGCTATTAGGGAGGCTGAGATGGAAGGATTGCTTGAGCCTGGGAGATTGAGGCTACAGAGAGCTGTGATTGTGCTACTGCACTCCAGCCTGGGTTACTGAGTGAAAGCCTGTCTCAAAAAAAAAAAAAAAAAAATCCATTCCAAATCAGGAGTGCTGGTTTAAAAAAAAAAAAAAAGAAAATGTATCACATATAAAATTAATCATCACAGATTCCTTGCCAAAACATCAGCAGAACTGTCTGACCACCCAAAAAGAGAACAGTTGATGTGAACTGTGTGCTAACCAGGAGCCTGGACTGGACAACCTCTTTATGCTCGTGGGGTTCTGAGTCTGGATAGAGATGCCATCTGAGAATAGTGACATATGTCTTTCTCTTTCTTCCTAACCATGGCTACAGACTAGTCTATTTTTGTGGTTTATCTGCCTACTGTTTAGAATTATTCTGTCTTCTTGGGGCTGTCAGGCACTCAACTGACACGTCTTGATGCTATTGCTGTGTCTGCCTTGAGCAGCTAATGATGGATGTGAAAACCCTTGTATAATTGTTCATGCCAAGGCAATGTGCAGCCACGTGCTCCTGTGGTCTCCTGTGGGCTAAATAAACCCTGATAACCAAGCTTATTATCATTATGTCTAAAATTAAAGTAAACAAATAATGAGCAAGGACTTGAGTGGTTTATTACGGTTGAAAAGTACTGACTGACTTAATGCATGAATGTTATAACGCCTATTTATATGGGTAAAGGTTTGGGGGGTTATTCTAGTTTCCCATCTGGGTTCCAGGTATGTGAGATTGCTGGGCGGGAGAATGTTATAGATTGTGCGTTTGTTGTCTTAAGGTAGGTAGCTGCCATTTCTGCCTAAATTATCTGTAAGGCAAGAAACCAAATATATAAATTAATACCATACATAAGCAAACAAATAATTCTCTAAACTTAATCAATACTTCCCTACTTGTGAACTGAAGAATTAATACAGTCTCTTTGTCTGCTGCTTGGTGTGAGGTTCCTTTACTTTTACAATTAGGTTTGTGTTCATGAAACAAGGTTAAAAATTTAGGGAAGGGAGGAAATCTACTATTTAAAAAATATGAACATTTATTTTTAGTTACCACTTTATAGCACCTAGGTATTAAAATACATAATAATTAGGAGCTAAGTGTATCCCATAATCTGTCATCATTCGCTCACTTCAAGAGGCCCATCATTAACCTTTCCATTAATTCTACGTCTTTTAGATCTTCCTAAATCAACACCTACTCTAAATGACTCCTCAAATTAAACCCTAGTTTTGCATCTGCACTTTCTCAGTTCTAGTCTGAAAAGCCTACAATCTTTTCTGTCTAGTCCCCATTTCTGCCTCACTCCAGAATCTGGCTTGAAGCCCTGGTCTTTCTCAAACTCAGTTGCTGGCAAGCAAGTCCCCCATCAAACAGATCCCTCACATGTCTGTGCATTAAAAATAGCTAATATGACTCACTGGCACTTCTTACTTACTCAAACTAAAGGACAGCATCTGTGCTTCAGGGATAGGAGAGTGAAGAGAGCAGAATGTGAAGAGGGAAACTACCAACATTCAAAAATCATTTTCTGGACTTGATATTGACGTTAGCTTTGTCCCTGGTATTTCCATCAGGAAACATATCTGCAAGTGATTGTATGTAGAATTATTCTTTCTTAGCTGATCCATCTGCGGACGCACATTTTCAAGGGTGTCTGATATGGTAAATATAGCATTGTCATGCTTATTCATAGGCCCCACTGTTTAGACTAATGTTATAATAAAGGTCCTGGTTGCAAAAATGGCTT